GCCTGTCAGAGAGCCACGGGCTGTTTTGGGTGGGAAAGGACCTTAAAAACCATCCAGTTCCACCCCCCTGCCGTGGGTAGGGACACCTCCCACTAGGCCAGGTCGCTGTTCCCGTCCCCTGCCACGCTCCCACCTGTGATCCTGGGGGTTTCTTCATTTGGAAGGTGGATAAATGCAAATAGCTGATGGCAGGAAGGAGCTCTGTGTAGCTGCACAGCTTTGGCTGGGATGGAGGGCCAGGCATTTTCATCTGACCACATCCCTGGGTGACTCAAGGGCTGCTGGGTCTGGCAGAGCTGAGAGAAGGGGCTCAGGGCACACCCCTGCATGTGGGTGCTGCCTCCTGACCCCTGAATGCTCATGAATCATCCCTTTGAACTACAAAAATCCAAAGAGGATGGAAGAGGCTTGGAGGGAATGAGGGACCTTCTCCTCCAGCCCAAACCCTGCCTCTCCCTGCAAATCTCCATTTCAGCTGCCTCTGCACAGGGTCTGGCTATTAATGAGGAGTTTTCCTTTGTCCTTAAGGAACCTTTCCCACACACACAGCACAGCCTGATGCTCCTCTGCCCTTGGTTTCTCATTAGCCCCAAGCCCTGCTCAGCTCAGCAAGGCCCAGGCTCTGGGCTGGGGGCTGCTGTGCTTTGTTGAGCTGGAGTGAGGGGAGGAGGGATCTGCTGCCTTTGTCTGGCTGCAGCACAGCTGGAGGCTGAGCCTTGGCTTTCTCTCTCTCCAGAAAGGCTGGAGAGAGTGACAGACAAAGCAGTGTCATGGGAATAGAGCTGCTGTAAGACTTGATGAAGAGATGGCAGGGACCGGGGACAGGGCTGGGGGTGACAGGCAGCAATCAAAGCTGGGGATGTGCTGAGCATTCAGAGAGGGAGAAAAGAGGAGCTCTGAGTCTCCACAAAGGGAGAAGCAGGTCCAGGTCAGCTGCCTTTATAGTGAAACCCAAGCTCTCATCACCAAACAGGATCCTGGTACATCCCTGGAGCTGCTGGGTCCCAGTGGGGGCCGGTGGCACTGGGTGCTCCTGGTTGGGGGGGCTTTTCCCCGTGTTGGAGCCAATGCAGAGCCCAGAGAGGGAGGGTGGCATTCCTGAGCTGTGGCAGGAGGATTGAGAACCATCTCCACCGACGGCTCTCACAGCTGCACCTTGATCCCTGCCCTTCCCTGGGATGCTCCTGCTGCCGTGGGAAGCAGGAACCTGCAGGAGATTTGTCCCAACCTGCTGCTGTTTGTCACCCAAGGGCCGTGCCCACCCTCAGGGGATGGAGGTGTGGCCCTGGCCAAGGCTGGGGAGCAGGGAGGGGGATCAGATGCTCCTGGCTGTGGGTGCAGGGGGTGGTTTGTGTTGTTTAAGCGGGTTTGAGTGGTTGGTTTGGGCTGAGCTGAGCTCCCAGAGCTCCGAACAGCAGATGGCATCCATGGGCTGAGCTCAGGCTGGAGCAGCACCTCCAGCAGCCCTCCTGCTGCCCTGGCCAGGCAGAGATGGACCACGCGGGTGGGATGGCTCCAAAATCCCGTTTTGGGCTGAGCTGCTGGCTCACAGCACAAGGATCCAGCAAAGAAATGGATGTGAAAAGAAAATGCATCTCCTCCAGCATCTTGTTCCCAGTCATCCCCTCTGACCCAAACACCTTCCAGCAGCTGTGACAGAGCTGAATTCTGCTCTGGGATGCAAATAGTCCTTAAGGCAGCTGCCCAGAGTCAGTCAGGGAAATGTCTCTGGGGTTGCATCCTGCTGCTGCAGCTCCCTGAGCTCTGCAGTGAATCCCTAGGGAGCAGCCAGCTGCAGAGGTTCTTTCCCTGGGTGAATGCTGCCTGTGGTTTCCTGCAGATGATGCTGAGTGCTTCCAGCCTGGGAACTGGTGCACTTTGGGCCTGCAGGGACCAGGTGAAGCCTCAGCTGTGAGGTTGAGCCTGGTGATACAACCAGTGAAACGTGGCCTTTGATGGGAATTGCCAGTGGTGGTGGGGGGAGCTTTGGTGGCTCTGTGGGGCAGACAACCAGTGTTTGGGGTGAGGGGTGATGGCAGATCCCGCTTTTCCCCAGAATTTTTTGGCTGTTCAACCTTGGGCAAGCCCAGAGGTGCCCTGTGAGATGGAGAGTGTGAGTCTCTGTGCACAGAGGGGAAGATTGTGTGCGTTGGTGCAACACCCGTGCGTGCAGTCCCCTGGCACTGCCAGTGCACGTGCCCCTGGGGACCAGGCTCAGGTGTGGCAGCACACCTGGCTGTCTGTGCATCCCAGAGTGTCAGCTCCAGCTGCTCTGTGCTCCCAGGGCACCGACAGAATTCCCACCCGGTGAGCTGAGGGCTCACCCAGCGCTGCACCCACGTTAGGAGAGCAAATTCCTGCGAGCCACTGTCACCTCCAGCAGGTCCTGCTGCCTGTGACGAGCAGAGCTGCTCCCAGGGCTCCCCGGGAGGGGTTTGCATGAATTCCCTCGTTTCCCAGCTCAGTGGGTGGCAGACACAGGGCCTGTTGCACCACCGGGGGGTGGTTGTGTGGTTCCTCCCTGCTCTGCTCCCCGGGAGCTGCTGCCCTGGCTGGGCTTGGTCCTGCCCACACGGGAGGTTTTGTGGCCTCCAGGCTGTTGCTGCCCCGGTACGTTGGGCAGGGGTTTTCCCTCAAAACAAACTCAAACCGAACTGCAGTGTTTGTTCTTGAGGGACAGGGAGTTCAGGGGACTGCCCACCTCCTCTCACCGCAGGAGGTTGTTGTGCAACCTTAAAAACCCATTTTGATGCCAGCTCAGGGTTGTATTTAAGGGGAGTGCTCAGACCTCAGCACAGAGGACCTGCTGATGCCAGAGCAGCTGAACCTTTCCTTTAAGTTGTGGACGGTGCTGCAAAGGGAATACTTTAGAAATAAAGCAATCAAATATAAAATAACTCTGCTCCAGCCCAACTTCCCTTCTGCAACACGCAATAAATCTGACCTGCTTTGGAGAATTGCTGTCAGCAACCTTCAGAATGGATTGGCAATTATCTGGGGTGTCTTTTCTCTCTCCTTTTTTTGGTTTAATGTATGTATTATCTCGGAGCTGCGCTGGCACGGGATCACGTTTCGGGACAGCGAGTGCTCTGAACGCTCTGCTGGGAAATTCTTTGTCACTGAGCCCCAGTGGCTTTGTCACCCATTTTCTCCTGTCCCTGGGAGGCTGCAGGAGGCTCTGGGCAGGTCCTGCTGCCCCAGTTAGCCCCCAGTTCCACAGGACCCTGTGCCCACCCCGCCCTCCGTGCCCACCCTGCTCCCCGTGTGCCTTTATCCCACAGCCAGCGGAATTCCCGGAGTTTTCCACTGACCTGCTGGGGCTCCACAGATCCCTGACCGGCCCCGTGGCCGTGTCCTCGCCTGAACTCCCCATGCTCTGAGTTTTCTGAGAGGCTTTTCAGCCCCAGCCCCGGCGGCTGCTCCGACACAGTGGCCGAGGGCCCTCCTGCCAAAATCCATCTCTTATTGTCTCCGAGCAGCCTTTGTCTGCACAAACAGGAAACTGCCTCAGCACAACCTCCAGCAGGTCTGGTCGTGGAGCAGAAATCACTCCTGTGCCTTGCCAGGGACCCACAAGTCAGGGTTGTCAAGGATAAGGCTCTTTGGGGTCACTGCTGCCCTTTGGGATCATCTCTGCCCTTTGGGGTCACTGCTGCTCTTTGTGGGGCACTGCTGCTCTTTGGGGACACTGCTGCCCTTTGGGATCATCTCTGCCCTTTGGGGTCACTGCTGCTCTTTTGGGTCACTGCTGCCCTTTGGGGTCACTGCTGCCCTTTGGGATCATCTCTGCCCTTTGGGGTCACTGCTGCCCTTTGGGATCATCTCTGCCCTTTGGGGTCACTGCTACCCTTTGGGGTCA